CGAGTGGAAATTCGGGAAAAAATGCCCATAGGGGAGAAGTAGGGGCTAAAATCAAAAAAATAAAACAAAGTTGCACAGCATACACACATAAGGCATCTTTGTGCAAAATTTTGTATCTTTAGCTCTTATAGTCTCTGAGATCAAGGTGTTCAAATGGACAGACAGACGGACAGATCGATTCGTCTTGTCATGCAGATCAAGAATATAAAACAATAAGAGAATGCTGAAGTCGAGCGAGCTCAACTCTTAAATACCCTGTACCTCCCACAAAAAAAGGAAATTATGAAAAAATAATTTTTTAAATAATTAAAAAAATTATATTAGTTAAATTCTTCAATTAAATTAAATACATGTTCATGTACAGTTTCAACAGCACACATTTCCATCAGAATCGTGTCTCGGCGTGTTTATATGCGTGTATGTATACAGCACAAAGTTGAAACCAAGCAGCAGGAACAACAACAGCTGCGGGCAGCGCTGCGTGCCGAGGTGCAGGCAGCGCATGGGCCGCGATTTTATTTATGGCTATAACTTTCTTCAGAATTGACCAATCATGATGAAACATACGGACACATAATCACTAACGGGATGTAGTTACCAAATTTTAGTTCGAAATTCCAAGAACTACGAGAGTTATACACGAATTGCGGGGGAGTGGGGGGGGGGGGGGGTGTATAATAATAAAAAAAATAAACTTGACCTGCCTAGGGCTTATGGGAATCTGGATACCGAGTTTGGTTATTCTAGCTCTTGTACCTTCTGAGATCCTTGCGCTCATACAGACGGACAGACGGACATGGCTATATCAACTCGGCTTGTATATACTTTGGGGGGTCTGGCACGCCTTCTTCTGTGTTTTGCATACATTCGCACAAAACTAGTATAGCCTTTTACCCTTTGGGTAAAATATCAAAAAAAATAAAATAAACTCGTCCTTTTTCGGACCTTGGAGAATCTGGATGCCAACTTTGGTTATTCCAGCTTTTATAGTTTCTGAGATCCTTCATCCAGACAGACGGACGGACATATCTAGCTCGATTTCTCTCTTCATGCTGATTCAGAATACAAGTATATATACTTTATGGGGTCGGAGATGCTCCCTTTTACCCTACAGGGTACAGGGTATAAAAATACGTTTCGTGGCGTAAAACCGCCCATACGGCTTATACAATTTTCGAAAATTACACAGGTAGTTCGAAACATTACCAGGCGCTAGGTATAATCAGAAATAAATCAAAAGGCCCTGCCGATATGCTGCTGTCTTCCTACGATACACCACTAAACTTTAAAGCAATCATTAACAGACTTCACTTTACGTATGCAGATAATCGAACAAGAGTTGTCGACTTTACGTCAAGGAAACTTGACAATAACACAATACTATGAGGAGATCGAGCAGAAGCTTACGCTCCTCATAAATAAGACAATAATGACGTACGATGCCACCTTGGCCGCCCCCCTTAACGAAAAATATAGAACAGATGCCTTGAGAGTATTTATTTCAGGCACTAAAAACTACTATTCTTTTTTCGGCACATCCCAAAGACCTGCCATCAGCCCTGGCCTTAGCCCACGAAGTTGAGTCAAATCATGAGCGTTTCCAATTTGCAAATAACTATGCAAAAGGCCTCGAGGAGCAACCCCAACCGATGAAAATTGACAGTTCCTCCCGGTTTAGACAATCAATCCAACAAACGAACCTAAACATTCCCCCTTACCTCCCATAACAAAATCAGTCCACAACAAGAGAGAACGCCACAGTCGAGCAAGCCCGACAGTGAAATACCCTGTACCCAGGTAAACTTCCGTCATTGAGTTATATGTATGCGCCCAAAGCAGCAAAAAAAAGAAGGAAGAAGAAGAGCGAACTTGTTGCTGCAGCTTGTGGGGGTTGTACTGGAGAGAATTTGTTTCGCTAATAACTTTTCTTAGAATTGACCGAATTGGATAACTAAAGTAGATAACTGTACATAAATAGATCGCGTGCGTGTGCGTATGGTTTATGTAGCTTTTGAAATGTGGACAGTATTGATGAAATTCTGTAGCGGGAGAAGGGGGAGAATATTGCAAAAAATAAAAAAAAAACGTTCTTGCTCGGACCTAGGAGAAGACAGACAGACATGTCTAGATAGATTTCTCTCGTCATGCTGATCAAGAATATATATACTTTATGCTTTCTTCTGCATGTTACATACTTTGCACAAACCTAATATAGCCTTTTACCCGTAGGGGTATAGGGTATAAAAAGAGCAAATAGTGGGGCTGCCAGGCTAGGTCAGCAACAATGGGTAAATCAACTTTCGCAGGAACGCTTCAAAAAGTTATATCAAGCCACTTACAGAGCTAAAAACGTAATTGCAGTAGATAAACATTTCTTAGTTATGTCACTTCATGGCTTTAACTCTATCCAACAAAAATGTTATACAAGGTGTGTTCCAAAGTAAACAGGACTTTTTAATCTAGCGCCCCTGCTGGCGCTATCTATATGTCGACTGGTGCGTTAGAATCTGCTATCTTTATCGATTGTCCAGTGAGAATTTCATGACATTTCATCGATTGGAAGTGAAGTTATTGCGTTTTAAGTGTCAGTATGTTTGTGTTATCGGTGCGAAAATGAGCTTCGAACAAAGAGCCAACATTAAATGTTGTTTTAAAATTGGTAAAACTTTTACCGAAACGTTTCAATTGATGGAACACGTTTATGGCGATGATTGCCTATCCCGTAGCAGAGTGCACGAGTGGTTTCAACGTTTTCAAAGTGGCCGTGAGGACATAAATGACGATCAACATGGGGGCCAATTAAAATTAGTGATCACCGAAAATTCATTCGAAACTGTGCGTGAATTCATCAAAAATCAGCCGAAATCATCATTGAAATTGATGGAAATGGAATTGAACATCTCCAAAACATCGATTTATCGCATTTTGACCGAACATTTTGGCTTACGAAAGGTGTGTGCACGGTTTGTTCCGCACAAATTGACTGACGACCAAATATTGCTCAGACGATCGACGCTTGTAACCCATTATTTGACCAAAAATCACATTTTAACCATTAACCACTCGCCGTATTCACCTGATATGGCACCGTGCGACTTCTATCTTTTCTGAAAAATGCATTTGCCCATGAAAGGAAAGCGTTATGCAGACGTAGAGGCCATTCAAAAGGCTTGCACCGGCATACTGGCGGCCATACTTTTGGATCGTGCAAAAAGCTGTATTGAAGCAGAAGGAGACTATTTTGAATCAAATAAATTGATTTTGCCGAAAAAACCATTTGTTCTGTTTTAGTTTGGAACAGTTTACTTTGGAACACACCTTGTATGAACCTTTTCAACACCACAGCTGAATTCTTTTTATTCCCTACTCTGACATTTGATGGAATAATAGGACTTCACCTACTAAATAGAGTAAATGCCACGCTGGATTTTAAAAATAAAATTTTGAAAACTATAAATTTCTCGAGGAGCATGGAAGACCACGTAAATCATTACGCATGGGTGTTGACAAAACTCTACTACGCAAAAATGAAGGTTTCACGAGAAAGTTCATACTTTTTTAAAGAAAAAGTAGAGTATCTTGAATTCGTGGTCACTAGAGGCGGTTTACAACAAACCAGGGTTCGCATGCAGCGCTGCCGTGTGCAGCATCGTGCAACCAGGCAGAGGCCGGGCGCACGTTCGTAGTATTACAATAACAGATTTAATGGAAGTAGCATATGTCAGTGTTGTATTAGGTAATCATTTTCTGCACTGTATAATCCTAGCTTAGTCTGTAAAAAAATGACCCTACATTTTGCTGAAGATAATAATATCACATACTGAGGCAATAAAATCCTGCCAATCGGAAATTGCACCGCTACTCTCACGTCAACAATTTGCAAAAAGCTATCTTCAACGACATGTGCGCAACAACTCCACTCCGGTGGTACCGCACATCCATGGTACGTTCTTGCTGACATTCGGTGAAGAATTCTGGAAAAACGGGACTCTGTTCAGAAACATGAATATCGTCCGAAGACACCCGGCCTCAGCAACATCGGCACTCCTGAATATCACTGGTCGCCACGAAATTTTGAGGCTGCCATATCTGCAAAGGTTAATCTGCGGTACATTGGTGACATAGAGGATAAGTTGACAACAAGACCGGCGATGTTCAGCGCATCCATTATTTTCATCATAGCTATTGGATTCCTTCTCTTGAAGTTGTACCAGAAACGGAGAAGGGCTAGCCGCCAATCTTCCCTAAAGATTGTTATCGGGGAAATCTGAGGAAAACTCATGGAGGCCTTCAACTTTTTTTTTTTTAAGCTTTCTTTATTTATCGGATCTTCTCTCTAGGAGAGAGATCATGCTGATCAAGAATACATACATATGTATATGTATATACTTTGTGAGGTCTGCCACGCCTCCTTTTGTCTGTTACATTTTTTAACTCCCGCAGACCTAATATGTACATACATACATACATATGTATGTATGTATACACTTGTACATTCTTCTCATTTCATAAAAATATGCGAATATCCACACTTAATATTCTTAAAATGCGTAATTCAAAAGTGGCGAATTGATTTACTCTTATACGTTTATTTTTAAGTAAACCATACAAGTTCATTAAAAGTCAGGAATACGATTACTTTATTAGTTAATCACATGAAGTAAAATACTATGACAGCTTATTTTGATTTATGAACATTTTTTATTTAAAACATCTCTGTTGATTTCCTCAATTGTATCCTCTGTTTCTGAGAAAATTTAATTTTGGTTGTTTTTATTGCGCTGCATCGACCATGCATTTTTTAAAGAGACATCGATGGGCATCGATGTTTTCTCTTCGACTTACATCCCAACCACCAAACCACACTTGTCAGCTGTGAATGTATATCGCTATCGTGATATCAAGACTGTCGGTATGCAATAAAAAATATCGGCCATCAATAGTTTGCTTTTATTGCTATCCCTGTTACACTCATTAAACTCTATTTAAAATAAGGCAATGTGTATAGTTTCATTTCTCATTCATGACGAATGTGCTTGAGTTTGAATTTTTGGTGTTATAAATTCTTTGTTACTGTTCTTGTTCCTGGTCGAAATTGCGTGTCGGTCGCGGTGGTGAATATCTCTAGATTGCGAATCGGTTTTATACGTGTGCGGCTGAGTAGGCTTAAAACAATTTAGAACTGTTTACTTACATACACATATACATACATATGTAGGTATATATGTAAACATCGATACATCAACATTTTCTGTATTTCCTAATTTGTGAATGTGTTAAGTCTACAACTTATTTGTACGCGCATAACGATAGGCGAGATTACGGAAAAAACGCACAAATATACAGATATAAATTTATCGACATATGTACATACATATCTGAACATCTTTGAACTGGAGACTGAATTCAACTATAAAATAACTTCTTAAAAGCATGCTTATTTCGTGCAAATGCTTGAATTTTATTGCTACCTCGCCGCAGTTGCAGCGCAATAAGAGCACAACTGGGGATGCAAATGTCGGCAAAGCGTCGGTGATCGCAAGTGTTTTTGAAGTATTTAAGCAAAAATGGCCACGGAACTTTTTGTTCTATACACAATGTATGGAGTTTTTCCAACATGTAAGTTGATTTTAGCCTAATAATGAAGCGTTATACCAGTGCTACCTACGGTTAGACGTTTGTACATATGTACATATACATATGTACATTTATTATGAATGTATGTATGTACATACATACATATGTATGTATTAAAACATTTAAACGGATCTCCTTTTTTCCGTTTCCCTCATTTAAAACATGCAATTTATTGTATTAGGTAAAACATGTGTACATATGGTCGAAAATTGTATAGCTGCTAATTATATAGTCGCTTCGTCTCGCGTTGTCATGTGATCACTTTTAAATTGCAGATTTCGTCTAATGTTGTTTTCAGGAGCCACAGCTCGAACATTTATTTGTGTGGCTCAAAACAGCACAAGAACATCCAGTAATAAAAAATCTGCTCTGGTCATGTTACGCAAATAGTAACTGTTGTTATTAGCCTAGCATATGTGCGTGCATACATTTGTAGCCATAGAAACGATCTGCAAAGTTTGATCGGATAATATGTATGTATATATTATATACAGCTAGTATTTAGTTTCCATGGGAATATGGAAGAGTAAATTTGCAAGTTTGCCAAAATCTTGTAACAAGAAACTTGGCATGCAGTCACATAATACGAACTGGGGGTATTTGCAAAGTTGCAAGGGAGGGAAATTCCAAAATTCACATTTTCTGCGTATTCACATAAGGCATCTGGGCCTAAAATTTGGTGACCCTAGATATAGGCAATTATACGAATGGAAAATCGGAAAAACCCTCATAGGGGAAAAGTGGGGGGAGGGGAAAATAAAAAAAAATGAAACAAACCTGCACAGCGTACACACATAAGCCATCTTTGTGCAAAATTTGGTGTCTCTAGCTCTTATAGTCTCGGAGATCCAGGTGTTCATACGGACGGACAGACATACAGACAGACCGGGATAGATCGATTCGTCTTGACACGCTGATCAAGAATATATACACTTTGTGGGGTCTGCCACGCCTCCTTCTGTAATATATAGATCAGGATGACAAGCCGAGTCGATATAGCCATGTCCGTCTGTCTGTATGAACGCAAGGATCTCAGAAAGTATAAGAGCTAGAATAACCAAACTTGGTATCGAGATTCCCCTAAGACCTAGGCAGGTCAAGTTTATTTTTTATTTTGATACCCCCGCAATTCGTGTTTTTTTTATAACTTCCGTAATTCTTGGAATTTTGAAATCAATGTTGGTAGTAGCATCCAGTTAGTGCTTATGTGTCCGTGTGCCAAGTTTCATAATGATAGGTCAATTCGGAAGAAAGTTGTTGTTGTTGTTTTGTTGTTGTTGCTGCTTTGGTTCAACTTTGTGGTGCATACTACATACACGCATATAAACACGCATAGACGCGATGATGTAAATGTATGCTGTTAAAACTGTACATAAACATGTCTTCTGTGTATGTATTAAATAAAGTTTCTTTATTAATTTAATTAATTAATTACATTTTTTTAATAATTTAATTTTTTTTACATTTTTTTTTTTTTTATTTTCCTTTTTTGCGGCTATTTTACTGTCGGGCTTGCCCAACTGTAGCGTTCTCTCTTGTTTTAAAAGAAACTCGTACTGCGTATACACACATAGTATCTGTGTAAAAAATTTGGTGTGTCTATCTTTATTTTTCACCTCCCGCAAACCTAATATACTCCTGTACATTTCATGTATAGAGTATAAAAATTTAATATACATATTAGATTTTTGCATACAAAAAACACTATAATTAGATTTCGGTACTGTAAACATATAACTTTTCTTAAGATCTAAATATTATATAGTTATCATTGCCGTCTTAGTTAACTAATTAATTTAATAAACTTATCTCTTCTTGCATTTTTCAGACTTATGGTCCTATTCCAGATCTAACCATAAATAGCATCAATCAACGTGATCTAATCTACAGTCTTACTATTAATGCCGCTGTCCAAACGTGGCAACTGAGTTTATGCATCAATTGCAAGGTTGTGTTATGTGCCAAGTGTTTGACAACTTCAGAAAAGCCAGCGCCATCCCTTTACCTTATCAACAGCTCACTCTTCACCACCAATGAAGAGATGTTACAGCGTCGCAGTGACAAATCCTATTCGGAGACTTTCGAACTACTCATTATGGACCATAAACAAATACCCGATGCCAATAGTGCCAGCACTCCATGTCAAAGTGGCGCCATGGTCCCATCGACCTTGAACCTAAGTATTGGGTCGATGTCATCAAACTCTTTGGCGCCTTTAGATGGCAGGCAGATACGCCTGCGTCAGCTGCAGGCGCACCAGCAGGCGCGACTACAGCGTGAGATTACCGAAACTAACGCACGCATTGAGCGGTACACGGAGCAGCAGTTTGCACTTCTTAAAAGCTTCCGGGACAAATGCGATCAGGATTGCGCACTACTGATGCGGGTCATACAGAACGTACCTGAAAAGGCCACTGAGCTGCTTGACCGTGGCATGCCATCGGCCCTGGAGGTAACGGGAAGTGCCATTGTCACCAGTACTGCCGCTCCAGCTACTCGTCGCCGCAGCACTATTAGTAGCCGGAGTGATCTGATCACAGTGTCTACCACACCCACAAATTCCCTTACGCAGCCACCCAGCTTCCTGACATTACCAGTACAGGAGACAACGCAGCGCAACAAACAACAAAAACCACAACCTTTCTCTCAGCAGATACCCAATACGTCCAATCTGACATCAAGAAAATTGTCCAACTTTGATACTCCGCCCGCCACACCAGAAGCCACACCCATGAGTGTTAGTAATAGCCCGACATTCAGGCAGCAGGCTGCGCCACCGTCGAACAGCACGCTGTTGGTATCGGCGACTGATCCAATGATAGCAGGTGATATGGCCGATAACTGTCAGTTCGATATGGAAGATGTTGATGATCCAATACCGGTGCACTCAGCGCGATCCTTAAACTTCGCGCGCTCCCAGATATATCAACACCAACCATTTTCACGACAGCAACAATTGCAAATTCAATATGGACAACACGACGATATGAGCGACTTGGACGAGAGTGAAGCAGCTGACCAAGCAGAGGGTCAGTGTAAAAGTAATTTATCAAATTCGCTAATTCATTATGCAATCCTTACACTTACAGATGCTCTTAATTTGGACAACTCCATGCCAATACACAACGCTGGATCACGATCTTCGAAAGCGCATATATTAAACTTTGCAAAAAGCCTGCCAATTGAGATATCCAACTCTCCATTGGCGGAGCGCGCAAATAACAATTTTGTAGTCGAGGATGAGGAAGTAAGCACCACAGCGTTCAAACCTAACGTTGGCTAATAAATTTTTTGTTTTTTTTAGATTTTGGAAAACACCGTAGATATTGCAGCTAGCATTAAGGCGCTGGCAAAGAGCTTGCACGGCGAGGCAGTTTTTGGTGATTTGCCGCGCCCACGCTTGCGCTCGCAGATTTAAATGCCGTGGAAACACAAAACAATAACACAACTCGCAAAGAATTTGTACCCATACTGCTATTAGTATAATATTATAATGCCTTTTTAAAGTATAGTTTGCTCAACAGTCGTGAAAATTGTAAGCATTAGTATATATACATATATAAAGAATTACGAACTTTACTTGCTGCAAATAAACATGAAAAAACCCAAGTTATTCATTTACTTTTAGGCGGCTACAATATAAAACTTCGTTTGTTACTGCTACCACCAGATAACTGTTGATATTGTCTACGATTTTTTTTTAATTTAAACAAATTATTTGTACGAAATAATAGAGAATAACACGCACAGTCGCCAGACTTGATTGAGAAACTGTAGGCCATCCTCGAACAAGTAAAGGGAATCGCTCAATTTCTAATACCATCGAAAGCTAGCCAAAAATTGGTCGATACAATGTAACATCAACGCAAGAGATCGATCGCGAGCGAACTTACAAAAACAAAATACATGTAGTTGTCGCCAGCCAGACGCACAAGCAGATTGATTCAAAAACAAAATACACATAGATTGTGTGTCGTTGCTCGATTTTCAGTAGCATTTACTCAGAACTCTACCGGTGTTTTTGTTGTAGATGTTGTTGTCGGAAATTGTTTGAAATTTCGTGCCCACCGCTGTTTTGAAATCATCTTTTGTTATTAGTAACTAATTATAATAACAGTAGTAACTAATTATAATAAGAGTAGTAACTAATTAAAATAATAATTATTTAGTAGTATATAATTATAATAAAAAATATAAATAGTATTCTTATTATTAATTACTACTAACTACTGTAAATGTACTATAGTATATTAGGTTTGCGGGAGGTGACAAATGTAACAGGCAGAGGGAGGATTGGTAGACCCTATAAAACATGTATATTCTGTATATTGCGCCGTCGTATTTGGTCGTGTTGTTTTTGCTTTTATCGCATTTTTTCACATTTGATTCTTTTTGTACATTACTAAGTCAACACGACCACGCACGGAATCGGAATATGAAACACAGCAGTCGTGTCAACACAGTGCAACGATGTGCCACAAAAAAAAACTCGCAAATTTGATCGGACAAAATTTATAACATAAACTTTTCATTTGAAACAAGAATGCTTAAGTCGACCGATCTCAACTTTGAAATAACCTGTACCTCCCACAAAAATGAAAAAAAACTTAAATAATTAAAAAAAAATTAAATTGTTGAATTTAATTAAATAAAACATACATACATATGTAAGTGTTTATGTTCAATTTCAACATCACACACATCAGAATCATGTCTATGCGTGTATGTGTTCAGTACAGTAGTAACTTAGAGCAGAAACAACAACAGCTGCGGGCAGAGATTCGATTTATGGTTATAACTTTATAATAGACTTATCATGATGAAACTTGACATACGGACACAAAATCACTACATGGTTATAGCCATAAATATAATCTCGGCCTCAGCTCTGTCCGCGGTTGTTGTTAGGTTAGGATAGGTTGAGATGGCTGGGGTGTTGTTCACACCCGCCCACATAGGCCAAAAGAGGCCTCTTGCGATGCCATATAATCTCTATGGTTGTGATGGTGCTCCCTCAACCACTTGGAACATGTGAGGAATTTGATTAAGCTCGCAATCTCAATACTTGGTATTTCTGTTAGATTGCTAATAAATGATCACCCTAGTGTAGCTAATCTTCGCCTGCCGAGGGGAAGTGTCAGAGAAGGTGCTCTGTACTTTCCTCCAATTCCAGTATCAGTGAGACTTCTGTTCTACATTTTTATACCCTGTACCCGTAGGGTAAAAAAGGTATATTAGGTTTGTGCAAAGTATTAAACATGCAGAAGGAAGCATCTCCGACCCCATAAAGTATATATATTCTGAATCAGCATGACGAGAGAAATCGATCTAGACATGTGCGTCCGTCCGTCTGGATGAACGCAGGGATCTCAGAAACTATAAAGCTAGAATAACCAAAGTTGGTATCCAGATTCTCCTAGGTCCGAGAGAGGACGAGTTTATTTTATTTTTTTTGGAATTTCCCCCCCTTCCCTCGCCACAGTATTTCGTCAATACCGTCCACATTTCAAAAGCTACCCTAACTAAACTTTGCACACATAATTTCTATATGATTATCTACTTTTGTTTTAAATTTCATCTAAATCGGTTAGTTCTAAGAAAAGTTATTAGCGAAACAATTTTTCTTCGGTACTACGCCCACAAGCTGCAGCATCAAGTTCGCTCTTCTTCTTCCTTTTGATTCTGCTCATATACCTCAGTGCCGGAAGTTTACCTGGCTACAGGATATTTCACTGTAAAACAAACTTGCACAGCGTAATACAATATTTGGTTCCCGTTAAAATATTAAACACCTTGCCGTCGATCTATTTCAAATGTAGATCAAAAAGTGACAGTGATTTTTCTGTCAATTGATAATTTATAATTAAGTTAAGTTTTGGGCGGTTAAGTTTTGTATTTGGCATTCCAAATCCGCCTTTTTTGCATAAGATCTTTGCTTTCTTTTGCAAATTCAATCTTTAGGGGTCTGCAAAATTTTACTTATTGGGGGGTTTATTTATCCATAAGGGCGTCCCAAAATCATCCATTATTTTCAGTCTTCATTGGCATCGGATATTTCTCCTAGGAATCTTTGCTTGTACATACTCTCCTATAGAGCCGTCAAATCCATAGCCCGCGATTAGTTTTACATATGTTATGTTTTCATATCTTAAATACCTCCTCTTGCAAAAGGAAAATTCGATTGGCCGTATGATTAAGCAAATTTTGGAGAGATACTTGGGCTCTTATTTCTGTCACATTAACTCACGAAGGCCTGCACTCCAATTTGACATCTCTTACTTTATTATAGCTTGGATAAATGTTGGAAAATTGTGATATATTTAGTACTCCCATGTTGTTGTATTGTGCTTTGGTTAAGGAGTTGTAAATTATAAATGCAAGAGCTTTACTTGGAGTGACTGATACCGTCTTCGAGAATGACAGATTCTTTCTAATCCAATCTTTAATACGAAAGCAGTATCGCTCATTTTGGCCTTTTTCGCTGAAATTGATGCTGCATGCACAAGAAGACTTGTATTACTTTCATTATTATCGGTCAGTTCCTTTGCCATTTTCTTTTTCAGCCGTGATCCTGGATCACTGTAAGACGCTCGTGGTCGTCCTGTTTTATTGCCTGAAACAACTTGGTCGTTGATGCTCTCGGCTTCCACAATCATGCTTGACAAAAGCCAACTGGAATGCGTTCTCTTAAATGCCGGAATTGTTCGATTACATTTAGGTAGATTGTCTATAATAAAAAGATTAAAACTCTTTATTTTCCGAGTAATGTCGGCTTTGAGGTCGATTGATATATCATTTAAATGAAATTCACTAACAATCCAATCAAATAACGCTTTTTCTTCTTGATTTCCTTTTATCCACACATCCAGTAGGACAGATGGCTAACCTCAATCTTGCCATAAAATGCGAAATATGAAGAGAATAGGAAAAAGTGTTAACAACATGTTTAAGATCACAGTTTGTAGTAAACATTTGCATAATTACTTTTTTACTCCATAATGCACAAACACTTCGACTACTTTCTAAAATGAGACATAACAAGGGCAATCCATATCTATAACATTAAACACATAATTCAAAATAATTTGAAGCATTTATATTTGGTATACCTTGACCTTTATGTTCCATTTTGTCAACAAAGATTTGGACGTTGGGTAAAAGTTTCTCATCAATTTTAATAGGCATACATCTGACAAAACATCTAACTTTATTAGCGATGCAAAAATGCAGCGTTTTTCTTTATTGATTTGATATACCCAATGTATACCCTTTCAAAAGTTTATGTTAAATTAAAAATATATTTTACAAAAACGTACGACTTGATGCCAAAAAAAAAGGGAATCTGGTGCATTGATAGAAGACTCTCCTGGAAGCCTTGTTTGTTAGCAAATCACCTTAATATACTACTTATAATATATGTACAAGTCAAACAGCTTGTAAGAGCACTCATTTACATTAACATTATACATTTATTATGAACTTATAGATATTTATACAAATTAAGAAAGTATTCGTGAAAACTTTTAAACATCTTTTTCATTGCTATCAGACCTCTTTGCTGCAACTGCCATATTTCCAGCTTTATCCGTCCGATAGGTTTTGGTCGGTAACTGTTTAAATTTGAAGTAATAAAACCAAATGACGATCCTATCGTTATCCCAAAGAACAGTTACACTACTTGTCTATTAGTAAAACAATGTTATGTAGGAATCCATCACCTATTACACAAGGGCTCGATCAATCTAAGAAGAAGTAATTACTATAATCCATACTGCACATTACGTACAAGGCTGTAATGAAAGCAATTCAAAGATGCAAAATTAGTTCTGCCATAAACACCCCAAATGGCGCCACAGCCAGTAGCAAGAAGAGCTTGGGTACTCATAATACATACTATTAAATCGGTGCTTCTATCGCTCTGCTCAACAGGAAAATACAACGACGAATTACTTACATGCGCCCTTATGAAAACCGAGTATGTAATTAACTCTCGTCCACTTACCGTTGTATCCTTAGGAACAGAAGTTAGTAAATGTTGTTCTGAAGGAACACCTCAGCAATGTTGCCACATACTGCTACGTTACCAACCCGAAACTTCTGTTAACGGGTTCAAAAGGTCGAGTGTAATATACATGAGATCATTAAGTGATCTTCCGTGAAATAGGGCGATGATAACATATTAAAAGGCTTCTTCTTTTTAAGACTACATCCATTTTTATAAAATTTCATTGGACTTCGGTTGTCATTGTGTGTCAGCCTACGTGTACAAGAAATAGTAGTTACTTTTATAATAGTTATATAAAATGCCGTAAATCACTATGGCTTTTACAAGTTTTATGTAATTCCGATTCTAGCCCAATTGTATATTTTTAACATAAAGTACATTAAATAAATGAATAAACAAGTTTTAAATAAGTATTTTCAAAAAGTTCGGTCATATTAAGGAAAAATTAAAATTACTTAAAATTAACGTTTAAAATAAATTCAAGCTTATTGGTTTGTCGTTCGCATAATGTGGAATAAAAGTATGCAACTATTTTTCGTTCATGAAACTGCTAGTTAGATTTATCAGACACGATCGGAAAACGGACGACGCGAATCTCATTGCCGTAGTCACAAACTATGGCATCACAGGCAAGCATCATTATTTTGGGACACAGCTGCATATTGGAAAAGTCCAATATTACTTCGCGTGCTGGCTGACCTGTCCGCACATCCCACACAATAAGCGATCCTAAAAATATATTTGTATACAAATCTGCGTAGAACAAGCACACTCAAAACTCATACGCACCTAGTTTGCTCGTAACCAACAGCGACGGTGTCAGCATTAACAAGCTCGAGTAAGCATTCGATATATTTATTGTAGTAAGTAGGTTACCCTGAAATCGTTCCCACACGCAAATTCGTTCGTCAGTTCCCAAAGAGATCACGTAGCTAGGCGCACAGGCAAGGCAGCTAATGGCGCCATCGTGCGCCCGAATATTGTACAAGCAGGCGCCTGTGGAGAGATCCCAAACGCAGAGAAGGCCATCCTGCGAGCCAGAGCCGCCGGTGCCAGGCTGCCAGTGATCAACAAACAGACAGGTAATTGGCCCACAGTGGCCATGAAGTGTGTACTCCACATCTGACTTACTTAGGCAATATACCTAAAACCAAAACAAAAAAGAAAACGTTTACAAAAGTAGCTAACCTAGTATCAATAAATACATTAGGAACCTTAAGCGTGTGGTCTTGGCTACCCGTAAAGACAATGTCGTTAGCCACCTGCATGCACGTGATGGGCTGCTGATGCGCCAAACGTACGCTCTGTAGCGAAATTTTCATCTCCTCCTTAGTCGTCTTACTTGCAGTCTCCTGATTGCGCTGTTGCTGCAACAAAAGACCCAAACTACCAGTTGAGCCCGTCCGCACATGTGCTGCAATGGAAGATGTAAATATTGTAATCAGTTCCAAGAATTACGAGAGTTGTGGGAAAAAATTTAATAGTCTGGGAGTTTGGTTATTTAAGCACACAAATGATAGTAGCTCTATACGACACGTCTCGTCATACTGATCTAAAATAAATATACATTATGATGACTGCTACTCCTCCTGTATGGGTACTCCACACAAATTTAATATAACATAAACGCTTTGCGCACAGGGTATGAAAAAAAAACTGAAAACAACTCACCACAACACAACTCTAACGTATTAATCATGCGAACAATACTATACATCAAAAGCGGTGGGTACGTAGTAGCTCTCTCGGCTCCCAGTGCTCTTTCCGTTATGTTTTGGTAGATCTGGCGCCATCTAGCAGACTGCCGAATGCGACCGGGCTTACAAAAACATATGTATGTATATGCAGTTGTCGCAAGCCAGGCGCACAAGAAGATTGATGCAAAAACGAAACACACGTAGTGCATGTGTCGTTGCTTGATTTTCAGTAGGATTTACTCATACAAGGGTTACTATTTATGTTTCGGGAATAGCAAATAATAACAAAAGTTTCATTATGAAAAGGGCTTTATTGTTTTTCAAAATATTCACCATGATGATCAATTCACTTTTTCATTCGTTCAAACCATTTTTCATAACAGTTTTTCCATTCCTCTTGACATATTTCCAAAACGTGGTTTTTAAACTCTTCAACTGCTTCTTCGGCGCTCGCAAATCGTTGACCACGCAGTTTTCCTTTGATATTCGAAAACAAGAAGAAGTCATTGGGTACCAAATCAGGACTGTAAGGAGAATGATTCATCAATTCGATGTTTTGACTACTCAAAATTTGACACGTGTGACGAGATCTGTGAGAGCTCCCATTGCTTAGCAGTGCTTCGAGCGCGAGCTTTTGTTGGATCTGGCTCGTCTTGGCACACCTACACAGGCGATTGCTGTTTTGTACCGGTTCATACGCACATATCCATGATTCGTCACCTGTCACGATTTTATACACGATTGAATTCACAATACCAGCGATATACTGTGGTTTTTGATGGTGCTTGATCGCCATCAAAAGAACTGAGTTTTTCGAAACATTCTTATTCAACGAAAACCATCTCTTTAAATTTCAACTCACTACGAAACGAATAGCACTTGTACATCTAAACGTTGTAAGGACGTTTCATACTTCACTATGGTAATGTTACTTTTGACATTTAGCAAGCAGTGTTTACCATTCCCGAAATATAAATAGTACCCCTCGTAACTCTACTGGTGATTTTTATACTCTGTACATAAAATGTAAAGAGTATATTAGGTTTGCGGGAGGTGAAAAATATAACAGGCAGCAGAAGGCGTGGCAGAGCCCACAAACTATATATATTCTTGATCAGCATAACAAGACGAGTCGATCTAGCCCTGTATTTCTGTCTGTTCGTATGAACACCTGGATCTTAGAGACTATAAGCTAGAGACACCAAATTTTGCACAAAGAAGCTTTATGTGCGCCCGCTACACGATTTTGTTTTATTTTTTTTACACTAGCATGCGTAGACACGCACACTATGTTAATGTGCAGTTATAAACCCTTTATGTGAGGAAGTAAAATCGTTTTTACTGTTTTTTGTTTTTAATTCTATAATTACTCGGGACACCCGACTTTAGCTTCTCCACTTGTTATTGTAGAGGTTGTTGTGGTGGTCCCACCGCTGCTCTTGATTATAGGTATCATTATGAGTTTAAAGCATATATGGCCCGCATTTCAGTAATTATAAATATACGATATTTTGAAGATCTTCAGGTATACTCGTATAGCCAAAGAGCGTACCTGTCCGTTATTTTATTTATTATATTATTATGTTCTCTATTATATATATTATTATATATTATTTAGTTATATTAGCCGTATAACCACTGCAAATTTAACGGTTTGAAGTGAAAAACAAAATATATATATATATATATATATATATAGCTAGGAATCTAGTCTTTACTCACTGCGTCTGTAGGCTGCTGTAAAGTTCCAGTCGATCTGTTTGCCTTTATAAAATGTTTCAAGGCGGTAAAAGTCCAGGCGTCCATTTAGGCGTGCAACAATAACACGATCGCCATTCAAATGTATATGTGTGATACCTTGGTTACGTTTGGATTCTTCCTGGTAGGCACATTTAAGAACACCAGCCGGTGACTCCCACAGCTCAACGCGTCCGTTGGCGCAGCCCACGGCAATGAGATTATCAAAATAGTCCAAACACCAGATGGGCGAGCAACGTAGGGATTGGGTATCTTCTGGTGTCTGTGCCAATTGGATTTCGTTACGATTTATCGATGTAAGCTGCTCTCCACTTCGTGCATCCCACACCTTAATTTGGCCCTTCAAGCAGCAGCTAATGATGTACGATCCATCAGAAACAAGGCACTCGATACGATGCTTGTGACCCACAATCTTTGTAGGCACACCCTCAAGTATCTGTTCGATTTGTTTGTGGCGTACCGTCGCCTCTGATTCATGCCAACTGGACCGCCACTCTGCGTAATTACGCGTGCAGATACAGCGATAAAATACAACCATTGTGTAACAGAGAACAAATATGCTGATACAGCAAAGTGTAATAGCAAAAAATATTTCCATTGGGCTCTTTGGAACAAGAGGCGTTCCGCCGAGCATTATAGTTGGGGACTCTCTTCGCTCATCATCATTGAAATCTAACGGATCGAGAGCAGCAGCAAAAGCCTTCCACTGAAAATTCTGCTGAACAACCTTCTCGTATGGATTGCGTACAAGCTTGGCCAAACTAGGAGTAATGACATGTGTCAGTTTAATTGTGGGCAACAAAGTGACATAGTGACCGCTCAACGAGATGTTGTATTGCTTCATAATGGTTGACCAGTGAAAGTTAGATAAGAAGAAATTTAACTCGAAATTTGGATAGCGTAAGCGTAACAGCTCCTCGATTGTATCATTAACGTTTTGCTGCGGTTCCAGCGGTGTGGGGTAACTACCTGAAGATGTGCTGCCGTCTGCCATCAGCTCGCCCGTTTTAAGAGAGTGGAAAAAGTTTTTTACAACACCACGTCCAGCCTGTAATTTGCGATGCAGCTCGTAGGCAGCATGCGTGGTGCTATTAGCTTGTATTGTAAACAACTGCTCCAGATAACCGGAATTGTACACAATCGAGCAGATCCATACACTCATCCAAACCATAAAGGCGCGCTGAAAGAAACGCGTACGGGCCCAGAAGTTAACTATTTTAATACGTTTGGGTATCCGCGGCTCCTGCGATAAGTGACCGTTAACAATTTGAGAACGATTGCTTACATCGGAGGTCGTAGCGACTTTTAAATCAGCAAAGCACAGCTTTGGATGTGACTGTGAGCGCTTAAAGGTTCCAGATACAAATGGCATCTGTGTCGAAGGTAAAGGCTGCGGTGAAAATCCACCTGTGGCATTGGGTGGGGAGCCAAAGAAATGAAAGTCATTCCGGGCGCCAGATAGTGTACAACTAAGCATAATTTTAGGAAGATGCTTGGCTTCTGTTGTGTATTCGGTGCGTTTGATGTTCATGGCTAAAATAGTTGAGAATAGTAACATCTGCAAAACAAAATCCGAGAGCAGCCCGACGATGGCAAATACGCAAAACTCTTGAATAACAGGTACAAAGGTGGCCAAACCAATTGTCAAGATGGTAATCTCTGTAAGCAGTGTCTTGGAGATGTGCCAACCCTCCTTGCTGAGAGCCTGGGCGACTCTAATTTTTACATCAAAGGTATTGTCAATAGACACTACACTCTTTGTTATAACCAAACTGTTTTCTAGGCCCACAAGAATCACCAAGTATGGGAAAATATCCTTTGATTGTAACGATATAGTTAAACCGAAAAAGAAGCAAAGTCCCAGAGACATAGCCAGGCTTCCAAGAGTAGTCAAAACACTGCACAGTGCAAGCACGATGCGCGATCTGAAAACGTCGATCTTGCGAACCGAGAAGTACACGTAAAAAAATACTAGCAAGAATGCCACTGATAGTGGCAAAAACTCCCAAATCTTTGTTTCACTTGGGTAGAAAATATACGTAATGGTACTCTCATTGATTACGGATTCCGGTTCTTCTACATCGGCATGAAGCGGAGGATAATATAGCAGCAGCTTCTCCTTCAGCGTTTCTAAATACTCCACATCATTTTGCTTAAGCATTAATGTAAGTGCATATTGAATAATGCGAGAGCGGGCACGTAGCGGGTATCGCTTAAATCCTGTATCTTGCATGGGTAACCCAAAGAGCATTTCTGCAGTGGAGACTTTAGATTTTTGAAGATTCTGTGAAAATAACCGGAAGAATTAAAAAATATATATGAGAAAACATAAATTGTAAAGTTTCAAAAATAAATAGGAAAGGATCGAGTCGCGGTGGCTGGTAAGCCTTTGAATAAACTTACGTAAATAAAACTGAAGGTGCAATTTTAATATTCTGTACATTAAATGTACAGGAGTATATTAGGTTTGCGGGAGGTGAAAAATGTAACAGGAGGTAGACCTTACAAGGTACATATATAGAAGTATATTTTTTTTATCTGAAAACCCGAGTGGATATAGCCATGTCCGTTGGTATGAGCGCAAGGATCTCAGAAGGTACAAGAGCTAGAATTACCAAACTTGGTATCCAGGTTCCTCTAAGCCCTAGGCAGGTCAAATATGTTTTTTTATATTCTGATACCCCTCCACTCCAGCGCTATTTGTGTTTTCTTTATAACTGCCGTAATTCTTGGAATTTCGAACAACAACAACAGCTGCAGGCAGAGCTTCGGCTGAGATTATTTTTATAACTTTCTTCATAAGTGATCTATCAAATTAGAAATTTCAAAATCATACATTTACAGTGAAACCTCTCTTGGCCGGATACTCACCGTCGACCAACTTTTGTCCGGCCAAGGGGAGTGTCCGGTTAAGAGGATACATCGACATTTTTATACCCTGTACCCAAAGGGTAAAAGGGTATATTAGTTTTGTGCGAGTGTACATGGTACACACAGAAGGAGGCGTGGCAAACCCCACAAAGTATATATATTATTGATCAGGATGACAAGCCGAGTCGATATAGCCATGTCCGTCTGTCTATATGAACGCAAGGATCTCAGAAAGTATAAGAGCTAGAATAACCAAACTTGGTATCAAGATTCTCCTGAGCCCGAGAAAAGACGAGTTTGTTCATTTTTCCAGATGCACCCCCCCATATCCCCCTATTCTCGATTTCGATAGTGCAACTTTCAATGACCTTTTTTATTTGTGGGTGATGATTGCACAAACATATTTATACTTTTTGAAAAGGCATTTTAATTACCTTTAATTTCATATCAACACATGCACACGTTTCACATAAAAAAACAATTTAAATAAGACAACTTCATAATACACGAAATATTTTTGACCATAATTAATTGGTACGGCAATATTATTTTTTTTTTAAATAAGACCGTAACAAAGTGAAATGTGAACATAAATTGTTAAACTAACCTTATATAAACAAGAGAGAACGCTACAGTCGAGCAAGCCCGACAGTAAAATAGCCACTCTCCACAAAAAAGAAAAATTAAACAAGAGAGAACGCTACAGTCGAGCAAGCCCGACAGTGTAATACCCTGTACCCAGGTAAACTTCCGTCACTGAGTTATATGCGCTCAAAGCAGCAGCAAAAAGAGGAAGAAGAAGAGCGATCTTGTTGCTGCAGTTTGGGGGGGTTGTACTGGGCAGAATTTGTTTCGCTAATAACTTTTCTTACAATTGACCGAATTAAATAAAATTTAACCAAAAGTAGATTGCATGTAGATTGCGTGTTTGGCTTATGTAGCTTTTGAAATGTGGACAGTATTGACGAAATTCTGTAGCGGGGGAAGGGGGGGGGGGGGGGGGGGGGGGGGAATTAAAAATATAAAATAAACTCGTCCTTTCTCGGACCTAGGAGAATCTGGATACCAACTTTGGTTATTCCAGCTTTTATAGTTTCTGAGATCCTCGCGTTCATCCAGACGGACAGACGGACGGACATGTCTAGATCGATTTCTCTCGTCATGCTGATCAAGAATATATATACTTTATGGGGTCGGAGATGCTTCCTTCCGTATGTTACATACTTTGCACAAACCTAATATACCCTTTTTACCCTACGGGTACAGGGTATAAAAAAAATTACGTAAAGGGTGTATAATTGCACATTTACATAGCAATTGCGTCTGTGTGAGTGTATGTATGCCTATTCGCATCTATTCGTATCTGTGTAAACATGTGTGCAGTCAACCAAAGCACCAGCATCAACAGCCGCAGGCAGCGCTGCAGCAGCAAATATATTTATGGCTATAACTTCTTGTTAAATCGGTCTATCATAGTGAAACTTGGCATACGGACACATAATAACTAACTGGGGGCATTTGCAAAATTTTAGTTCGAAATTCCAAGAATATATACTCAGTTGAAGCAGGCGAACATTGATTAAGAGAACCACATTGTTTAAAAACATTTATAAAGACACGGAGCTGTCATAATGATCAAGCGTTATAACAGATGTCACATACTCAATCGTCTCGAATTAACCTACTTTGCTAAAAATGCAACTTACATGATACTGAAATATTGTGCTCAATATGTTCGTGTCATGTGTAAAGTTTTGGATATTTTGTGCCCACAAATTCGCCGGAGAGAGCAGCAAACAACCGTACTCAGGGAAGATTAGCTCCTGCTGTTGCTGCACGTTTCGCTTTACATTCTCCACATGCAAACAGGTATGCTCCAAAGTGCGTTGGCTAAAAAAAAATTTGTAAATTTGTGAAATTATGAGTATTTTAGGTGGACTAAATTCTAAATAATTTTACTTCTCGCTACTTTGATGATTGCGCACAATTTCAAGCAATTTAAAAACTTCATAAAGCGGCGCACGAAATGCATCCATTAGCTGCATATCATCGCTCCAAGGTAAAACACTAGCCCGCAGTGTTATCTGTTGAACGTAGAGCGCCGGCCTACTTTGCGCCCATGGAAGTGGTTCAAATGGCACATTAGTTTGATGATCCGCATTACTGTTCTTCTGGGTCTGTGAAAGGATGTGGACCGTTCGATTCGGTTCAGAAGAAAATTGAGTTTCATCAAAAAGTGAGAATCGGCCTCCATAGGGCAGAACAATCTTAGTAGGAATGGTTCCAGGAAGAGGTATATTTATGAGTGGATAGCTATGAAGAAAGAAACATTCAAGAAAAAATTTCATGAAAGGATCTGTCAAATTTTTTTTTCATAAATATTTTACTTATATTATGTTATCATTCCTTAGGAGTCTCAACTCACAATAAGTTTTCAATTCTTATATGAAATATTTCAACCACTTTAATAATAGATACCCTTAAATAGATGCTGGGCTGGCAATTAAGCTTTATCAATATTTGCATGGAATTTTGACTATTTTGGTTATTTTCAGTGATCAGATGTTAAGGTCATTATGAATACTTCTACTACTTATGTTTTTCTTTCCATGTCATTCTCTTTGTCTCTCTACTTATGCCGACTGTCATTTCCTAAACAGGGCTGCTGTATAACAGGGCTACTGTATAATATGCTACCACTCCTACATGTAAGTACCTTCATTATCATAATTATTTCTTCTACTCTCTAAAGAATATTATAAAATATATATATTTTGCAGCTTATCTTTTATTAAAAACGTGAATTGAGCGCAAACATGGATAAGTAAACTTCCACGCCACGAAGCACCTCAGCGGGCATGGCTGTTTCAGGAGCTACCTCTGTCGGTTTGGGCACATTTTCTTCGAGTGCCCCAGATTCGTACGGAGGGAGCTCGAAAGCTGCGTGGGAACTTCCATCTTGGTGAATAATGTTGTGGGTCTGTTGCTTCGGAGCAAGCAGGAGTTGGACGCAACCAGCCGCTTTGCTCTTGACGTTATGGGAGATCTTCGAAAACTGGATAGGGAGCTAAGGCAGTGCTAGCATAATAAAGGATGTCAGAGCCCGTGCGACGTATTGCTTCGCGGCCACCCCGTACTGGAATCGATAATTATCGCTCTATTTATTCCAAAAAACTATAACTGGCTAGCATAGTAAGTAATAAATACAGATAACTTAAAAAAAATTTGAAATCGATCGGACAAAATTTATAACACATACTTTTCATTTGAAAACAAGAATGGAATGCTACCCTGTACCCACCAAGAAGAAAACAAGAGAGAACGCTACAGTCGAGCAAGCCTGGCACTAAATTAAAAAAATGAAAAATTAAAAAAAATCAAAAGAAGAAGACGCAAACGAAGTAGTAAACAACAATAGCGGAGGAGGAAGAGCATTTGAAGCCGCTCGTGATAACATAGGGATCAGTTATTTTTGGGTAGGGGTCAACTTGACATTAATTAGTGGCTAAGTGAATTCGAGGATGTTGCGATCACTGTTGCGTTGGACGACTTCCAAAAATATGTTTATGCTAAAAAATTATTAGGTGGAGCTGCAAAAATATTTGTTATAGGGCTGACAGGCGTGTAAAGTCGGCGTAAGCTGCAGTCAATGTTAAAGGAGGAGTTTAGAAAGCAAATTTGCGCGACGGACGTGCACAAGTTATTAAGACACAGACAGAAACATAACACTGAGACTCTGATGGAATACTTATATAGCGTGATAGAAATAGGAAAAGATGAGGAGAACTTATAGATGGAATACAGGATAGTCGCATCAACAAGTCATGTTTATATCGAGCCAGAACAATTAAGGAACTAAAATTGGAAATATAAGTGATGAGAAAATAAGGAGCTCAAACAAAGACAAATTTTCATTTAAATAGGGAACGAATTTTGTCAAGAAAGGCCTAGAGGATATAACAAAGAAAGCATCCAGGGAGGCAAGCGCTGTTTTCGATGCAACATTGCAAACAATTGTAACGAACGAAGGGTGTGCTTTATCTATAACTAGCAGGTCTTGTCTGTCTTTGCTGGCTCAGTATTTGTGGTTACAATTATACGTTTATTTACTATATGATATTTCCTTCCGACACTCTCTTAAGTTTCTAAAAAGGAAAAGAATGAATGAAAAGATTCCTCCTCCGACGCACCCTGCGAGTTTTGAGCCGTCAGTAAAAACCATTTATGGCGTTGTTTCTCAAGTGGGGGAGGTGGTCCCATTCTAGACGAGTAGGTATTCTAACCGTGCAGTGCCTGGCAAAGGTGACCACCGGCATGTGATAATCCGTGTGGGCCGGAACCCCCGGATGAAGATGAAGTATTTATGCGTGCCCATTCGCAGAGTTTTTCCATGTTAAGGATTCCATAAGCCTCAGGGCTGTATTAGCGGCTATTTCTTGCCCTATGATGTGCAGGGGAGGTACATCCAAAATTATGTTAAATGCATCATTTGGAGTTTTACCTAGTACCGGCCACCATACTATGATTCAATACAGTAGTATGGGTTGCACTATCGCCGAATATATCCAGTGCTCTAGCCGGGGTGAGAATTCCCATCTGGTGCCAATTGCCTTTTTACACGCGTAAAGGCCGTTCGTGGCCTTCTTCACCCGTACGCGGATATTATCCTGCCATAACAGTTTTCTGTCCTGGATAACTCCCAAGTACTTAGCATTGTTGCTAAAAGTTAAACCCACCCCGATTATCGTTGGCGCAGTAAGTTCCAGAATTTTGTACAAGCTCTGTTTCAGAGGGATTTACCCCTAGGCCGGTAGAGGATGCCCAGTTTGAGAGTGCAGTTTCCATCAGGTTGCACAATACAAGATTTGAGACATCCCAAAAGCGATTTCTGTGGCTCCCATAATCCCAAACCCAAAGTGGACAATTTTTCTTAGTTTGCAACGATTTACTCAATTTTATGTTAATACTGCAATTTTCAGGTTAATATGTTATGACTACGCCTTTTCTGGGCATTCCAACCAATGACCACACAACATATAGATGAGTTATTTCATACAACGAAAACGTCCCATCCAAATTGTGAGCGACAGCTCCTTTTGGCTATGAGCCGAATGGTAGCTGTCGCACTTCGGCTGAGCCGACTAGAAGCTTTCGCATTCGTGCTCTCTGTGAGCGAATATCAATTCATAAATAAATAAAAATTAATTAGGTAATTAAAGTAAATTAGAAGACATTTTTTTGTTCAGTTTTAACAGCATACATTTACATCACGTGCTTATTCGTGTTTATATGCGTGTATGTATGCAGCACAAAGTTGAACCAAAGCAGCAACAACAACAAAAGCTGCGGGCAGCTATTTTATTTATGGCTACAACTTTCTTCACAATTGACCTATCATGATGAAACTTGGCACACGGATACATTAGTACTAGCTGGATGTACCTACTAAAATTAATTTCAAAATTCCAAGAATTACGGAATTTATAAAAACAAACAAAAATTGCGGGGGAGTGGGGGGGTGTATCAGAATAGTTCTATCTCTTGTGCCTTCTGAGATCCTTGCGCTCATACAGACAGACGGACACAAACTAGTATAGCCTTTCACCCTTTGGGTACAGGCTATAAAAATTTGATCGATTTTACCTCTTCTGGTATTCGAACTCACGTAAAGGGTGTACAATTGCGTCTATGTGAGTGTACGTATTTTTATGCTCGTATATTCGTGTCTGTGTGAACATATTTGCAGTCAACCAAAGCACCAGCATCAATAACAGCCGCGGGCAGCGCTTGAGCAGCGCTGCAGCGGCAAATATATTTATGGCTATAACTTCTTGTTAAATCGGTCTATCATGATGAAACATAGCATACGGACACATAATTACTAACTGGGGGTATTTGCAAAATTTTAGTTCGAAATTCAAAGAATTACGGGAGTTACGATTTGCATGGGAGAGAGGAGGGAGTGAAATTCCAAAATACACCTTTTCTACGTATTCACATAAGGCATCTGGGACTAATTTGGTGTTCCTAGGTCTTATAGTCTCCGAGATATAGGCCATTATCCGAATGGAAAATCAAAAAAATAAAACAAACTCGTATAGAATACACACATAACGCATCTTTGTGCAAAATTTGGTGTCTCTATCTCTTATAGTCTCTGAGATCCAGGTGTTCATACGGACGTACAGACAGACAGACAGGGCTAGATCGACTCCGTCTTGTCACGCTGATCAAGAATATATATACTTTGTGGGGTCTGCCACGCCTCCTTTTGCCTGTTACATTTTTCAACTCCCGCAAACCTAATATACTCTTGCACATTTAATGTACAGAGTATAATTACAAATCGATCGACACCGTGATTAATATTGAAGACATTTAAATTCACTAAGCCCTTCTGGACGGCCGCCACATGAATTGACGGTAAAATCCGAATTGCAATCATGCTTTTGAGAAATTAAAGCCTTCCAAGCATGTGCAATGGGACGAGGCTGCTTATTAAGGAATTGCAGGACAATTTAAGTGTAGGAACTATTATGAACGCCCAGCAACTGGTCAACTAGCTCAAATAACGAGGATACCGATGATCCCATTTGATCGTTATATGGCTTCGATTTCCGGTAGTTCCATGACCAAGCCCTCGAATTAGTAGAACCGACATACGAAAGCAATGTTTTACGGTATGTTAACCATCACGGCTCGGAGCTTCCGATAATCAATTTATTTTGCTACCACAAAATAAAACATCAAACATCTTTTACAGAGAACATCTGACCTAATAAAGAATAACAAACAAGATAGAACGCTACAGTCGAGCAAGCCCGACAGTAAAATAGCCTGTACTCTCCACAAAAAGGAAAAATTAAAAAAAAAAATTAAATTATTAAAAAAAATGAATGAATGAATTAATTAAAATAATTAATTAAATTAAATTAGAGTACATGTTTATGTTCAGTTTTAACAGCATACATTAACATCACGTACCTATGCGTGTTTATATGCGTGTATGTATGCAGCACAAAGTTGAACAAAAGCAGCAACAACAACAACAGCTGCGGGCAGCGCTGCCGACAGAGCTGCAGGCAGCGCATGAGCAGCGATTTTACTTATGGCTATAACTTTCTTCAGAATTGACCTATCATGATGAAATTTGGCACATGGACACATTAGTACTAACTGGATGTACCTACCAAAATGATTTCAAAATTCCGAGAATTACGGAAGTTATAAGAAACAAGAAAGGAATGCTAAAGTCGAGCAGGCTCAACTCTTAAATACCCTGTACCACCCCACAAAAAAGTAATTAAATTAAT